CCAGTTAACCTGATGGTATTTTGCATGTAATACTTCATGTCCTAGGGTGACCAAGCTCACCAATCATACTTTATGGGGGAGCAGTGTTGTAACCCTAGGACTGGATGTTAGGACTACAGAACACTTTGCCCCTCTACTTATCGCCATATCATAGTGGCATGGCATTCTGCAGTTCACAGAGGTGACCTGGGCAGGAATAATACTGCTTAAGATAACGCTGCACATCGCACTGGTTTTCTGTCAAGAAGTATTTTGTGCACTAATCAATAATATATATTTACCAGACCAAAAGGGAGCAAGTAAGTGAAGTTCATGGTTAGAGTTTACATACTCTTTAAACAGGGGCATCCCCATAATAAGGCAGCCTGAGGCAGTAGCCTCAGGTGACATCTCATTGGGGGGGTGGCAGCAGCGTTTCTCCTCCTCTGGCCGCCCGTTATCTTCTGTGCTGCCCCATTCCTCCTGCTTTTCTGCCAGTGTTTTATCACCGGCGACAAGTCTCCAATCAGCGGCTGGAAACAATAGCCATTTTAAAATGCAATAGCCAATAGCAGGCTGGCTATTCTACCTGGCCACTGCCTGCTGTCACTCAGCAGATGAGGACCTGATAGAGAACATCCTCCTTCAGTTCCCTCCTCTGATGATTGACAGCAGGCAGTGGGCGGGTGCAATAGCCAGCTTGCTATTGCAATTTAAAATAGCCAATAACAGCCTGGCTAGTGCTCCAAGCCACTGCCTGATGTTTTGACATTCAGCTGCCTCAGCAGTTGAATACAATGTCAAAACAGCAAAGTGGAAAGGCGACACCCCCTAATGTCACCTTAAAGAGAACCTGTCACCTGCAATTTGCCTTCACATAGGGGGCTTGGGAGACCCCCCCATGTGATAGCAATGAAGTTAAAAAAAGTAAAAAATAAGTTAAATAAAATAAAAAAATTATCCAGGGATATATAATAAAAAGGGTTTGGAAATGCTAGAGAATTGCTTTTATAATGCATTACACTAAAAATAAACCGACTTGATTTTTATCATCTAAAATGAATCTGATGACTAAAATGCAACTAAAAATAAAAATAAATTTTCATCAAAAGACGAAGACTAAATATGATGACAAAATTAACACTGCAATGGACAAACAACATGCTGAACTGTATAGAGAGCAATGAATGTTCTATGAGTAAGTATTGTTTTTGTACTTTTTTGATGTATGAGTTTTTACAGCACAATGTATAGTTCATATATGGCAGCGAAGGCTACTAAGGGAGTAATCATGTATCTGTGAACATTGTTTTTAATTGTGTATGTTTATTTTATGCAATAAATTAGGTCTGTATTTTACAACAAATACTAAGTCTGCCGCCTCTGAAAGCCCCTAGTATTACATTATTTTGGATTCTATATCTGTCATATATGCATCTAGAAATGCACACCTTACACCAGGGCTCAAAATTTCCACTCGCCCGCTCGCATTTGGCGAGTGGAAATAAAACAATTCTTGTATTAATTCAGTCATATAGTTACAAGAACCACATATGTATCTTTGATCTAATGCTTCTATTGAATGCAATGAAAAAAGCACTTAACAAGCATTTGCTTTCTTAATCACTGAGGTCTTGGTATTACAAAAACCAATAAAAAGCCAGCAATGCCCAGCAGAAGACCTTCACACCTCAGAAACTAGTCATAGTAACTGTAATCTTGTACCTGGATGGGGCTCCTACCTTAGAACACCCCGTAGTGCCAAGAAAACTGCCATAGAACATTTGTGGTTTAAAAATTAACCTGAAATACTTACTTTTCCTGGACAATATGCCAATCCGGCTCATTCTGTGCAGGCCACATGCCTCGACACTTATCCCGCCTGAAGGATCAGGGCCCAGCAACCAAGTACCTATGCTTTTACACTCAAGGCAGCATGGATCAACATATTCTCCAACGGAATATTAGTCTTTTATTGAAATACTTTAATAACATTGTTTTTTGCCAACATTTAAGTACAGATCCACTTTAAAGTTGTATTAAATGTTCACATTTGTTTCCAATAATGAATTCAGAGCAAACAATTCAGCAATGTATTTCTATAGATTTATGCCCAGGCTCTTCCAGTCATCATGTTTCTTTCAGTTCCACTTCCCTGAACTTCCTGTTCAGTACAAGATCACAAGGGAAAGAGCAGACTCCAGCAGCTGTCTATCTATTAGCTTAGAGAAGGGAGGAGGAGGAGAGGGCAGCAGGGGAGTGGTTTGCCTTGCTGTGTTTGTGGAGACACACACAGCTTACTAGCACACACACAAGAGTGGCTCCATAGCACACTGCAATCTAAAGGAGACACCCTAAAACAGAAAGTCATGACCAGTACTCAGGAGGCCAACAGATTCTGCAAAAAGCTAAAACATTAAAACGTGAAGGAGCAGCATTTGTTTTAAGTGATTCCATCTGCATTTGAAATCGCTTAGAAACTTTTCACAATAACACCACTTTAAGGGTCAGCTCTCAATAGGAAAGCTTTTATTCAAAATCACTGCAATTTGGCCTCAATAATGAAGTACCTTTGTTTCTAAAGAATAAAAAAAAGAAAAAAAAAACTCAGCTCTTTTTCTGTTAAATAGGCAGTTTTTGTTTCAGCCCCAGGTGTACTAAAATCCATAATAGCTTCCTTTCCTGTATTTCTAGAAAACCCTGCAAACAGTCTATTCTATTTATGTAGCTTTTCAACTTTGAGGCTTTATTTTTTTTATTATTTCTTTGTATTCAATAAATCATTTAACTCGCCAGCCTGCAGTTATTGATCTAAAGTTACTCAACTAGCTTAAGTATTAACTTTCTACGCGTTACAGTCTCGGGGAAAGTCTTCACATACAAATAAAATATCACAATATTTCCTCAATGAAAGCTACAACTCCCATGTGAAATTGAATTTATGGTGCAGATCCTCCCATCTATGTTGTATTTCGAAGTACAAGCAATTGGGCATGAGTTTATATCATTGGATCTCAACAGAACTAATGAAAGCTCTTGACCCAGCAACTACATAGCAGACATGGAAGGTGACATTGATAGACTTTACGGCACTTATCACAACCTTGCAAGAGAATTGAAGAAATTTACAACTGAGGAGACCACATAAACAAGACTTACTGGCATAGACATCAGCTTATTAAACACTAGACGGTAATGACTGGTTCCAATCTGAGCAGAACTACTGAAGGACACACTCCTTCCACAAATGACGAACAGTAAAGTCTCTGTCTTGCATTACAGTTTTCAAAGCTTTGGAAAATGTGTCTAGAGATAAATCTACTGCTTACATTGGCAGAGAGGGAGTCTGTACAGTTGGGACATCTACAGCCTTAACTGCCCCAATACACTTCAGTCTGACAGCATTCTCTCTACTCTTGCAGTCTAGCAATAATGGGGAACCTTTGAGGCCTGTATGTGAACCTTGACCCAACTCCTGCCATCATCTGTCATAACATTTATGTACATTTACCTGCAGACAACGCTACACATTACAACTCCTTACCCCTGAGTAGACACTGCAAAACAAATGTTCCTTTCTGGAACACTTTTGCAATTATGTTATGAAAAACATAAGGCGGAATCCCTAACATCTGCATAACTTCTATAGGGCTTGCTACTTCCAGACAATTAAAATGAACGAAAATGTAACATGTACAGTTAATGTAATGCTTCTTTCGTTCCTTTTTTGAATGTTGTTGTAATTTGCTGTTATTAAATGTAGTATCATGGCTCTTAAAAAAAGGGATAACTTTAACTGCAAAGTTTAATAAAATAAGCATTTCTCAGCACTGTTACCTATCATAGTATTGGCCCAAGTGCAATAAAATAATTGCTTATGCAATACAGCTGCAAATGGTCACCAAACATTAAAGTGAAAGCTGACAACACTATCCTGTTTACATGACACATGACACACTTTGTGGCTTTTAAGAGATCAGCAATAACACGAACCCAGCCTTAGCATATATGATGCTATATGAAGGTGCATTGGTGCTGTTAGTGTACAATCAGGCATGTCTGATAAGGGAGCACAGTAGCCCTTAAAATTTCAGTTTGCTATACCTTAGTCTAGTTGCTACGAGTTACTACACATGGGATTTGACCCAGGCTATTTGGCTTACCGAATAAACCTTTCTTCTAAAGAAATATTTTCTGCCATGTTTCAAAGAGGAAACATGCTTTACTGGGCTCAAACTGTAGCCCACTGACATCCAGGTAATTGATCTAAGTACAAACAGGGCAGCTTACACAATGGGTCATCTGATCTCTCATCAATTACTGTCTGGATTCCGTTAAGGCCTTCCTTGTAAATACTCAACTAAATGAACATGTCATTAATTGCGTTTGCTGAAAAACATGCGAGTAGTTTTCTATTAGAATTAATGACTGATTTACATAACAGTGAAAGTCTAGTCACCCAAAATGATTTTGACCCATTTTGTTAAATCAGTGCCATTATGCTCATCTCCAATAATAATTGCCACTGAATTAATACAGCAAACTGATTGGCTACAGGTTCTTTTTATTTAGAAAGAAGCAATTCTAAAATACCAGAGAAAAAAGTAAATATATAAAAAGGTTTTCTGAGAGCTTTCTGAGTTCACTTGCTGTTCAAAAAATGATTGAAGCCAGAGAGGCAGCAATAGTCAGAGACCTCGCATTTTCAGAAGAGGTCAGTAATGGCAGTCACTGAGAGGCAGAGGCAGTCACTGTTCTGGAATTCAGATAGCTGCAGTTACCAGTGGTTGCCTGAATACAATAACAGCAGTCGAGATTTTCTCCTTCCATGCTGTAGAGCATGGATGGGGGAAAGGGTAATTTCTCTTATTCAGTCTTTGGGGCTGAAAGAGAGAAATATACACGTGCATGACTGGCTTAATATCTTTAAGCTTATGTTAAATCTTAATATCTAAAGAAAGCCAAATTCAAAATGTCAAATTAGGAAGCAGACAAAAAACAAAAAACAAAACACTACTCACATGATATGATGCGGTGTCTGCTACAGATGGACTGAGAGCCTCCTGCCGTAGGGAATCCATCTGTGCTCCAGGAAGCAGGGCATAATCACTTGGACTTGTGTTTTTCTCACCTTTCTTCTTAGATTTCTTCCCAGTGTCTTTTTTGGTATTTCTCTGCATCATGAATTCTTCCTGAATGATTTTGTCATTGCTCATATATCGGAGGAGTGAACTTTCTGAGCAGAAAAGAAAGTAATGGTCAAATTATTCTGGCAAAACCAATAAAAAAGCCAACTAGAGTAATAATTTTCATCTAATACGGTACAGAGAAAAATTGCATTTATACACAACTAAAGGTATATTGGAGTGACTATTTTACCCTGTGAGGTACCATGTTCAAAAAAAGCATTTGAGATTTTTAATTATTGGTTTCTTTTACTTTCCTTAGTAGGCAAATATATACATATTTAGCTACAGAAGATTACACTATTTAAGTCGGAAACCAAAATGTGCAGCCCTGGAGGCAATCTGAAGTACCAACAAAATTTGAAGCATTGCTCATTCAAAAAGTACATATGTCTTGCATAACATATGCAAGACATATGTACTTTTTGAATGAGTACTGTGACTTTCTTAGGTTACGAATATGTAGTAATTTCATCTGTGGGCTTTAGGCTATTTTTTTCAGTCCTAGCAATAAAGCGGTGTCCATCGCCCAACGCAGAGCTCCAAAAATGAATGGTGTTAATAACTTGGAAAAGCTACCTTACTGGATTACACTGCAGAAAATATAGTTGTTTTGTGGAGTTTCTTCTTCTGTTGCTGGACAGCGATGCATATATAGTTGCCACCAACCTGGTCCCTACTGGGGTAAATCAAGTCAGTTCAAAGCGGTAATCCTCCACTTGGCTGTTTTATTCTTCACGTATGATGTCTGCAAATGCTTGTGCGTCTCTAAGATAAAATCAGACTTTGAAGAGAGATGCAGGTCACAAGCAGAGATACCACGATGGCTAAGCCTATCTAAGCACTATGGGGAGCTCTAACTGCTGATCACAGGTACAGTCTTTCTTTGCATATCAATGTTGAAGCAAATACTGCCTGAAGCATGCACATGAAAATAAAAGGTTAATGGAACACAGGGTTAGCATTTTTAAAATGTGTGACTGACTTTCAAGGCATGGTCTCAAGTTAACATTAAGATAAAAGTAAAAACAAGTAATTCATGTGCATTATTGCCAGTGAGACCAAAAATAAAGTTTGAAAGTGGAAATATGGCTTTCCAAATGTCAGGAAGCCAAAAGTCCTTCAACTTCATGGCTCTAGCCAATACCATTTATACTAGTGGTTTTTATTTTACATGCGGCGTAGATTAATAATGTGAAACAATATTGTGCCGAGCGAATAATCATACATATCTAATAAATTGAAACATATATAAGTGAGTCACATATATGAGCCTTCAAACAAATGAGGCATATAAAATATCTACACAAAGACAAAAAAGCAATATAGACAATAAAAAGTCTCAAAGAAAAAACAAAAGCAAACAATGGTGATTGTGCAAAAAAATCCTTCAGATGATTCGCAGCCAATCTGCATATAACTCTCAGGTAAGGATAATCACACAATGCAGGCAGACCTTCACCTCCACCCAGTGAGTGATAACAAGTGAGTGCTCACCTGGGGAGGTAGACCTACAGAGCTAGGTCAAATGCGCTTTTTCCCTTCTTAATGGATCTGATGAAGTCACGTGTTTTGACGTAAAGTACGTAGGGCAGAGCTTCTGATGTCACTGCACTGAGCTGAGCCGGACGAACAGGTTTTTTTATCGCTTTGCTGCCATTTGCCCTGCTGGTCTGATCCAGCAATACCCAATGCCTGTACTGTTTATATCATTGTGAGTACGCATTTTTTATTTAATAAATTGCATTTTATTGGACGTTACGCACTATGTCCTGGTCCTTTTTCTCTTTCCACCTGGATTTATACTGGTACCTGTGATCTGAGGAGACCGTATGGCCTTTTCTGTGCATGGGCTTCCCTCCCCCATTAACAAGGGAAAAAGCGCATTTGACCTAGCTCTATAGGTCTACCTCCCCAGGTGAGCACTCACTTGTTGTCATCACTCACTGGGTGGAGGTGAAGGTCTGCCTGCATTGTGTGATTATCCTTACCCGAGAGTTATATGCAGATTGGCTGCGAATCATCTGAAGGATTTTTTTGCACAATCGCCATTGTTTGCTTTTGTTTTTTCTTTGAGACTTTTTATTGTCTATATTGCTTTTTTGTCTTTGTGTAGATATTTTATATGCCTCATTTGTTTGAAGGCTCATATATGTGACTCACTTATATATGTTTCAATTTATTAGATATGTATGATTATTAGCTCGGCACAATATTGTTTCACGTTTTTTAGATATTTAGTTATATCCTTAGTGCTTGGTATTTCCACATTACACTTACTGGCGCTGATCACCTTTATTGTTTATTTGTAGATTAATAATGACTGTTATAGGAGGCCAGAGAGTTGAAATAGTAGATGAGCTAAGTTATGAAACTCTGGTATAATGGTATAATGGAATCAATAAAACTATACATAAGTCCACATCACCAGGGCCGGATTTACTATCCCTGCCGCCCCGAGGCCAGGTTCCGCAATACGCCCCCGCCAACCCCCCTTCCCATCCCATCAATGGAGAATGGCAACCGGATGGCAGGGTGGCAGGGTAGTTTAATTTCTTTACTGTTTCTCTATTTTCTTAACTTTATCACTTTTTATTTTTTCATTTATTTTAATTTTTACTTATTTAGTTTTTTTTATCAATTTGTTTTTTTTTAGATTTGTATTTATCTTATTTACTTTTTTATAATGTTTTTATCTTATTGTTTATTTTTTATAATTATTTTCTTTTTTTTTAGTCACCTTTTTATTTTTTTATTTCATATTTATTTTTTCATTTTTATTTATTTATTTATTTTTAAAATCAATTTAATTTTTTTTCCACCTCGCTTTATAGCTATCACACAGTAGAAAACAATCCCCTGTGTGATAGCAATTGGAGGTGACCGATTCTCTTTATTGACCCTGCCACCTCCAATACAGGAGTTCTAGCACAGCACTGTGCTAGAATTCCTGTGACAGGTGAGAGAGGAAGAGCACAGCTCTCCCCTCTCACTGTCTACACGGTGCTGCAGGGTTACTTTTAACCCTACCGCTCTGCTCACTGCAGTGAGGAGAGACTCGACGGCGGAGGATGGAGCCAGCGAGGAGAGAGGTAAGTGCAGGGGGAGGGGAGGACGAACCGGCTGGCCGCAGACTTTTTACATGCGATCTCGGTGATCGCCGAGATCACATGTAAACTAACAATCGGCTGCCTCAGTCTACAGTTGGTCCTGCTTGTGCAAACGGCCGGAACTTCCCCACAAGGACACCACTGCCGCCCCTCTGCGCTCCCTGCCGCCCTGAGGCCGGGCCTCGGTGGCCTTGTGGGGAATCCGGGCCTGCACATCACCAGCCTGAAATAAATACAAGAAGTTCAAATTAAGGGTGTAGCAATGGGAGCCAAATTTGCTCCAAGTTTGGCAAATGTTTTTATGGCTAAATGGGAGGCGGAAGTAATTATTAATCAAAAATGTAAAGAGTTAATATGGAAAAGATTTATTGATGATGGACTAATTGTTTGGAAAGGACCAATGAGCCTATTGGTGAACTTCTTGGATGCATTGGACAATAATGAGTATGGAATTAGATTTACCCATAAGATAGTATAGATTTACCCAAGATAGTATAACTTTACAAGAGGATCTGGATAAAATAGGGGAGTGGGCAACTTTATGGCAGATGCAGTTTAATGTTGATAAATGCAAAGTTATGCACTTCGGGACAAAAAACACGCAAATGGGTTACACAATAATGGGTATGCCGCTAGGGAAGTCTGAAATGGAGAAAGATTTGGGGGTCACTGTAGACCATAAACTCAATAATAGATTACAATGCCAGGTTGCGGTAAGCAAAGCTAGTAGAGTTCTGTCCTGCATCAAGAAGGGAATGTCTTGCAGGGATAAGTCTATAATATTGCCACTCTACACATCACTGGTTCGGCCTCACCTGGAGTATGCGGTGCAGTTTTGGGCACCGGTACACAGAGGGGATGTCCTTGAACTGGAGAAAGTCCAGCGAAGGGCGACCAAACTCATCAAAGGGATGGAGGACCAGAGCTATGAGACACGGTTACTAAATTTAAATATGTTCACGCTGGAACTAAGGAGATTAAGGGGGGACATGATTTTCACATACAAAATGTTCCATAGTCATAGCAACATTAGCAATAAACTCTTCACGATAAATTCCGTAACAAAGACTAGAGGACACCACCTAAAACTGGTAGAAAAAAAATTCAAACACAAGGGGCGTAGGGGATTCTTCTCAGTTCGCGCGGTTAGGGTCTGGAACTCACTGCCGCAAGCAGTGATTTCAGCTAATAGTCTGGAATCATTCAAGAGGCTTTTGGACGATTTCCTGAGAAACGGTAATATACAGGGGTACAAGTACTCCTAAAAACGAGATGACGCGAGGATCTTTACACCCACACACACACACAATGGGTTGGACTTGATGGACATATGTCTTTATTCAACCTCAAATACTATGTAACTATGTAACTATGTAGTATAGGGGTCAAAGAAGCTCAATTTTTAGATTTACATATTTTCCATCAATGGAGGAAACATTTGTACCAAAACCTTTTTTTAAACTACAGATAGAAATGGGTATATTCCTATCCATAGCTGTCATCATCCAAAATGGATTAGTAATGTCCCAAAAGGACAATTAGTTTGCATCAGACGTAACTGTACCTTACTATGTGATTATGAGGAACAATCAAAAAACACCTTAAAACGTTTCCAAGAAAAAGGATATAGAAAAGAATATACAGAAGACATACAGGGGAAGATAGTCCAATTGGATAGAAGTGAACTGCTGAAGAATAAGTCGACTAAGAATGAGGCAATACCTTTATGCTTTATTACTGATTATACAACAAAGTACAGAAATCTGGAGAAAATTCTTTGGAGACACTGCAATATCCTAAAACATGACAGAATATTGGGACCCATTATTCCTGAGAAACCGAAGATGATCTATAAAAAGGGCCACTACATTAAGAGATAAGATTGCCCATGTGGCCTCCAATATGTAGGTATAACTACTAGGCAGATAACAGTAAGGATTAATGAACATATAAATAATATCAAAAAGGGTTTTGACAAGGGCTTTCTAAACCCTTTCTATTATTCCATGGAACCCCCCCCCCCTCCCCCTGGGGCTCAAACTAACAGGGATTGACAAAATCCATAAACATTGGAGGGGTTCTAACCTCAAGAGACAGATCTCTCAGAATGAGACTGAGTGGATTCACTACCTGGGTTCACTGCATCCAGGAGGATTAAACATAGAATTAGATTTGAAGTGTTTTCTTACTAATGATTAGCATTATTATCAATGTATATAATACTCTTTAGTTTTTATTGGTATTTGTGGGTTGACAAAATTAATGTATTTGCTAATAAGTTAATGTACTTATTACTGGGACTCTTGGGTAAAAATATTTGCATACAAAGGGGTGTTGGTTTTAATTTCATGTCTTTATGACATAATTGGATACTATGTTAATTGAGTCTTAATTTATTCATGGTGAGATGTATAAATTGGATCCCCCTAACTCTGCACGTAGGAAGTGGTGCGTGCTGTGTTCCTTTCGTCTGAGGCTAGTTTTATGGTGGACGCTCGATCAGCCTGCTGATGATTTTATACTTATTTGTAAGTTACTACATTTTAATAAATATTTTATCTTGATATACTACACTATTGTATCCCTTTTCCCTTTGTGGGGTGGATCGTTTTATCGAGTGGGGGAGCTCCTTGGATTTTGTTTGGTGTTTGAGGGGAGAGATGATTACCGACATCTAAAGTGACAGCTGGAGGATCGGTATTGAAGGAGAGCACGCTCACAAATGCGCAGTATGACCATTTGAATGCATGGTCAGAAACTTCTGGTGAGTGTCTCTACTCTCTCATTATATACTGGAGGAGATTGATCATTGAAGGAAGATACTCCGTGATTTTCTTAGAGGCATTAGTTCCCAAATCGTAGTATATCATACAGATTTATATGAACATTAATCTGCATTTGAGCACTGTTTGATATTGATGTATATAAACATTTATGCACTGTTAGATTTTTTGGGCACATATTAAGTCTCATAAGAGACTTACACTGTGAACTGTATCACTTTGGATTTAAATCATTTATTGGAAGTTGATTATATTTGTTTTCAGCATTTAGACATACTTTTTGTTTGATATATTGTTGAGAGGTTCAGCGCGGTGCATTGTTTAAAAAATTTCACACTACATAGTTGGCACGGCAGTGGACTTTATATAGTTAATTTTGACACTTAGTGTATTGGTATCCATTTAGTACGGATTAGCTGTTGTAAAATTCAAATTAAGCAGATAATGAAAAAATGCATTGCTGGCTCTCTGTGTGTGGAGCTCCATGTCCTAGGCTGAAATAGGCTGCGCCCACGGACCTCAATGCTGGGGCTTACTATTGTGGTCACTGACACCAATGCTGGGGTTTTTTATTCCCATCCACTGTCGCCAATGCGGATGGTGATTATTGTAGTCACTGACACCAATGGTGTTATTGTGGCCACTGACATCGATGACGACTCCAACTTTATCTTCAATACCTACATTTTCAGATTTTGAGATGCAATACAACCGTTGCATTTTGAATAGGTTGCCAAATTCAACAAAGTGCAGCTCGATGCATGACGTGTTGCCATTGTGCGGCCTACTGAAAGTGGCAGAGGCTGCACTAGTTGAGTAACACTGGATTACATTTAGTGAAAACCACAGTTCAAAATTATAATTTCATCCAGAAATATAGGCAGCTAAATTCATAGTTGACATTTAAGCCTAAATTAAGTCACAGAAATGGATATGCAGATAGAAAGTGTACTAGCAACTTGCACTTTCATAGTCTTACCACTCTCTTGTTACAGTAGTTGAGCAGGGTGTATAAATAAGACTGCTCAGTTTATTAGGTGCCAGATATACACTTATTGCACCCAGTAATCACTATCAGTAACAGAACTGGTCTGTCACCCTCCCCCCGCCTTCTCTGCAATACAAATCTGTGTGAGGACACTTGTTGAGGGTTATGGCTGTCAGTCAGCTCTGCCAGCATAGACCACTAAAGACGGGCAGAAAGCAGCATTTTTACTGAAAGAAAAGGGTATTAAAAAAGGGTTTACAAGCAAACATCAGTTAACAATAAGAAAACGCAAAAGTACATAACCCTAAAGGGACAAATAGTTGCAAGTCTTCTAGTCTTTATTGACTATCAGGGAGGTTCATAAAGTGGAGCAGACATGGCAAACCTTTACAGAAAATGTCAAGATTTGCATACAAATTCAGCTCTCCAGATATCTGGATCTACTAATTGTTCTGACAAGCAATACTGACTAACTTTAAACTCTCCTTATGCTGTGATGCAGTGGCTCATACATCAGGCATGCATAGCTCTGTATCAGATAGAGGAAGTGAGCCAACTGCAGGAGCAAGGGTGACTATACTTGAAGGCCTGACAAAAAAATGCAGTAATTTGGAATTGCTCCAAGAAAAGACATTTACATTTTGTAAGTATTTGCATGTTGAACTAGAACTGACATTTTTAATAAATTACAAAATGCAAATATAGCAACATTATATCAATTTGTAAAAAATAAGTATATAGTAGAAAGACGACGTTATACTTCTATAGAGTGACAATTGTCTGTGCTTTTCTATTCTGTCTATATAGATATGCAATCTCACTTTTTATGGTACTCAGACAAGCAAAAAATAGTCATACTTGACCTTTAAATGTAATGGTGAACTAAAGCTAACCTATGGGTTCACCTTACCTGGTGAAGTGGCCCTAGGTTCTTCAAGTATATCCCTCCAAATAACTGCAGGTATCTGCAGATTTCTTCCAGGTCATCCTTGGATTCCCAAATCTCAGAGGACTTTTAAACTGAAATGTCAACTAAAACAATTACAGTTACTCTCACAACTGCTTCCTCCCTTCCCTATCGGCCTTTGAAGCTGCCCACTGCATTTGGTGACCAACTGAAATGGCCACAGAGGGTGGCAGGAGGTAAGCCAGAGTGTGATCATGACAAATGTGGACACTATTTGCGTATAAAGTGTCTTAAGTTTAGGGAATACAGGGTGCAGAGACAGAATCAGCAGATTCCTATTGGCACCTGGAAGTGCCTGTTCCTGGGATCTGGAGCTTCTTTGCCAGGTAATGTGAAACCACAGATTTGTTTAGTTGTTGTTCCAGAAACGTAGTTCCACTTTTGCAGTGAAATTTGAGAAAACCCAACTTCAAGTTTGTTATGTGTTCCGATTCACACAATATATTTAAAAATGTGTTTTTGGTGTAGGCCCATGTACAGATTCCAGGCTACTCTGTGCAATGTGAAGTAGAACTAGAAGGCCAAACTGAGGGACAGATTGAGATTCTTTTCAATAACATACAATGCTTCTTTAACCATTAGAACAGAGTGCTCAAATCTTGTTTACAACTGATCATGAGATCTGCCAGCACAGTGCAAACAGGGTTAATTAGAGTAAACATAACTTTCCACACCAGCCCTCTTAAAATGATACTAAACTCAGGTGTTAAATGCATTCAAGTACCTTAACGATTAACAAAAATGTAACGGATTTGTGTATCACTCAGTTGTGTATCCTCAAATCTCTGAATTCGTGCCGACTTTGTCCTTCCTTTTGGAGGGTGGCTACTTTTGGTCCCCATGGTCCGTGTGTGTGTTGTAAAATAGCCACCAGTCTGAGCTCACTCCCATGATGGACTACAAGCTCATGTTCAGTTCACTAATGTGTATTAAAAATTGTATTCCATCATGGGAGTGATCTTGGAGTGGTGGCTACTTAAAAAAACACAGGGGGATCATGGGTGAACAAAAGTAGCCACCCTCCAGAAGGAAGGCCAATGTTGGCATAAATTCAGAGATGATTTGAGAATCTGCAGCCGACTGATGTACACATAAGGCCCAGTATTGTTAAATCTTTAAAACGCATTTGTGTACTTAAAATATTAACTTCTGAGGTCAGCATCACTTTAACATTACTTAGGGGGGGAGCTAGGCAGGATTTTCAAGCACTTTAAATGTAAGCAGCAATTTACATTTTTTTGTTAAGTTATGCAAAGTAACCGAGAACATGTAACAAATATAAAATGGGCGTTATCCCAATTCGGCTGCAAGTGTGGAAATACACTTTAAGCATATGCAAGTTAATCGACTCACCTCTTCTACTGTCTCTTTTTATCTTGCTGGGATCTTCATAATCGCCAACCCAGTTATATTCTACAGGCATAGATATAGGTCTTAATTTTCCTAAAAGGAAAGGGGAAGGGATACTGATCAAACACACGCCTTTTCAAACCAATACCAGTAACTTTAAGCTGTGCTTAAAGACAGAACACAAAGAAGGGTGTGCAGTAAACTTTATAAAACCGATGACTGATGAAATAATTTCAATATCCATAGAACAGGTAGAAATCTTCAATGCTGTTTGCTAAAATTCTTACCATGATATAAATGACCAGGAAATAATTGTTTTTTCTCTGGCGGTTCACTGGGCAGATTCGGCGCACAAACTAATCTTTTACAGATATTTTACAGTACAGCATGCAATATTTTGAACTATTTAATTATATTTTATATTATGGCTATGCTATGTAGACAACTTTTTTTTACAGGAGACTGGAGTGCAGCTTCGACGAGTACATTACCAAGTGGCAATTCCGATGCCTATGGTTTGAAATCAGCATAATATAAGCAAGAATCACCCCTTAAATTGTATATTTACTGTGATTAAGCAACTGTTTTAACAACTTTATGTCTAGGGAAGTCTTTGCCAGGACATGTAGAAGATGCTCTAGAAGAAAGGTGTTAATTAACCTTCCCGTTAAAGTAAAATTTAGAACAAGCCGGTGGAAGACAAAACAGGCCCTGAAAATAATGAAAGGCTGTATAAATACCATCTGTGAATACACCAGTGCTGTAAGAGGGCTGTAAGGAGACATTATGTTGAGTGTTATTGGGGAGGCACACATTTCCATGTTTTTCTATATCAAAAGACAACTACATAAAATTTGTCCAAACTATTAAATGGAAGTCTGTTTGTGTTGCAAAATAATGACCAGAAAGAATAAAACGTGGGAAAGAACCATTACATTTTGTGCAACTTTGCTATTCTTAATGGATTCCATCTAACGTGGGGATTGTAGTTCTTTAGCCAGAGGGGAAACTAGTGTGTACAACTGCTCTCAACAACAACAAAAAGGCAGAATAAGACCTGTACCTCAGAAAAGGTCCAAAAAAGCCCTGAGGGACCTTTTGCTGAGGTCATCGTATATGGCAAATGGTATCTGAGGGGCTGTGTGATAACATAATGCTATGCTTATTTTACAATTCTTGCAGCAATGATGGCTTGTTCATAGTGTTGTTGGGCATTTATAGACACTATCATTCTTTAAGTGAACATCCAAAGCCTTTTCGTATTTTAGGATATAGTTTGAAGGGGCAGCGCCTCTATTTTTATGGTTTTAGCTATTGTGTCCACTGTTGAAAAACTACTGGTATTTCATGCTCTTGTTGTGCTGGTAACAATGGTCACAGTAATGATGTAGGGGGTCAGCAGGAGGAACCACTTAAGTGCAGCAGGAAACCAGGAATTTGACTCTCTGGGAAGAAGCATGGGGAGTGGAAGAGCTAAGTATTTAAACTCTTGTTTACAAAGACACCTTTTAGGGGAAGTTTAATTTTACTGACAGAGCTGCTTTAAAAGTGTTTAGAACTAATAGTTTTGCAGAGGGAGATGAGCATATCTGAACCCAAAAGGAAAATAGTCATTGGCTGGATTGTTTTTAGCTTTGATTTATGGTAGCAATAAAGATAATAAGCTGTGAATGGCCTGGATTCTTTTAATTTTCTTGAAAATGTGATTTTCAATAAAAACAGGAGATGGGGCAGCTTTCAATATGGATATTTGGCGTTTGTTCTGATGACAACAGTGAAATGTGAGATTTATCATCAATTTGTAGAGATTTTTGCTTACCTCCTGCCAGAAATTCTCATATAGCCATGTTACCATATAAGAACTTTCCCTGGTGATCAACATGTAGACCTTTATTTTATAAAATGATACAGAATAGTATTTACCATAAGTGGGTGTGCTTTCTCTTCGACCTTGCATACTATTCCTTCCCTTGTCATACTCGTAGCAATATAACACTGCATCTTCCTCCACAATATTAAATCGTTTCCTATACTCCTGATCCAGAAAAGAGTTTGGTGACTCGGATCCTTTCGATATTGGTTTTCCAACAGCGTGCCGGCTCACGTCCTCACAGGGTAAGTTTCCTTTTTCATCCCTATTAAACAATAAAATAAGTATTCACTAAAGAAATTGCCATTAAAGGTGGAGATTAGAGAGACAGGGGGGTCCCATCACACATATAAACAGGCCTTGCAGTGGAGCTTAGCATAAGGAATGGAGCTTTTAGCAGAAACAGGACTCCAGCAATTGTATGATGGGGTATATTAGCAGTACCAGTGGTGTGCCCATGATTAAGCAATTGTAGGACAGTTTGTTTCAGTATGTGAAACCTAGAGTAGTAAAATTCCAGCCTAGAAGATCTGGCACTTTCATACATAAACCTGACAGTGCATTTGATGCAAAATGCAGCTTTATTTACAAATTTGAGTGTCACCTTTATGCTACTGGGATGAATCCAAACACTGTTTTCAATTAACACCAAGGCCACCATAAGAGGTCCCTCAGAACCAAGAAGCAAGTCATGTTATAACAGTGCCAAGACCCAGGGGTGGATCTCCCACAAGGCCACCGAGGCCTGGACTTGGGGCGACAGGGAGTAAAGGGCCGGCAGGGGTGTGGAATTCCTATCTCCCGATGCCAGGGACATGCAGTTCTGTACCCCGGGTGGGTAGTTTTTTTCTACATTTAGCCTTGCTTTGGGCAAGCAGAGCTAAATGTAAAAATCTAAAAGTTGACACTCGTTTTGTGCAAGTGATCCTGGCGATGCCGCCGAGATGAGTTGTATACAACCTGCAGGTCTGTAAATCCGCCACCCCCATCCCCCCCACCTGCTGACCGCCTCTCTCCAGACGCCTGTCTCTTCAGAATGGAGAGCAGAGCGGAGAACAATCATTCTCTGCCCTGCTCCGTGTGAACACTGAGAAGGGAGAGCTGCACTCGCAGCCTTCCCATCTTAGCTGTTACAAGAGAGCCAGCAGAGTGCTGTACTAGAACTCCTGTATTGGAAGTGACAAGTTCAGGAAAGAAAATCTACCACCTCCAAATGCTATCACACAGGGGATTGTTAACTTTATTGCTATGCTACAGGAGCTAAGTGAAAAAAAATGAAATAAAATTAAAAAATGAATATAATAAAATAAACATTAAAAAAAAGTAAAAAATAAGAATTAAAAAGTGAAAAAATTATAAGA